TTAATATTAATTCATTAACCAATTTAATTCCAATTAATTACATTTTTGCAAGGCCTGGCATGGCAGTGATGCTGGAGACAGCCTCTGCTGAACGCCAGATGCAGCGTGTCTGTTCGGGTCAAACACCCGCCCTAGAGTGAGATTCCTCAGTCCTTCCTCAAGGAACCCCTTTGCCTACTTTTCCCTAACAAGGGAAAAAGGACACCAAAACCACTGAGATCGATGAACAGCTTTCCTTTTTGGTGGGATTGTGTTCAGGAAAATTGTTCACTTCCTAAATTCTCCACAGATGGTTGAAATCAGAGTTGATTTCCCCATCCTCCTTCCCGGTAGGGGTGCCAGCCTGGCTCTCAACAGAAAGAATATTAAAAGCGCTTTTCCTCTTTTTCACAGGGAGAGGCTGCATGAAAGAAGGGAACGCTCCACTGTACCTACAGGACAGCAATAAATCACGAGAGCTCATGGAAAATCCGCATCACTGCATCCCTTAGTCAGGACCCAGCTTCCACAGGTCATCCCATTCCTATCGTCAAACATGTCACTTTTAAGGTAAGAACGCAAATGGAAATCATCAGCACCTGCAGCATTCTCATTTCTACCTGTGCTTTGCCACAATACACAAGTCGTTACTTCTGACAGCTCCCCATCAGCTGCCACCTACCTATTCGCTCGCAACTAAGACTGAACTCCATCTCTAGCAGCGCCAGAAAAGGAAAATTAAAAGGTCCACCAGGACCAGACAAGACAAAAAAAGGAAGATCTAAACAGAAATGGCCTGGAGAAAAACAGGAAAAAACAATTAAAGCTACGGAGGTGGAAGAAAAAAAGAGCAGAAGATGCAGCCTGAAATACAGAAGGTGAGTGTGGGGGGGAAGGTGTGAAGAGTACGGGAAAGAGCAATGCAGAACTGGCACAGATTCCAAGTCTGGGCAGTGACGGCCCCGCGCCACCTTTCCAAAGCCGTCCCCATCTGCAGCCCTGTGTCAGGGACAGGAGGACTCTCCCAGATGGCAGCCTGACCTTGGTGCGCTCTCCTCTTACACAACCCGGGCCCGGGCAGCCACCGGGAGGGAAACAAAAGCCCCATAAACCTACAGCCCGTTCCCGTAATGCGGCTGCCACGGATCTGCCCCATTAACACCGCACCACCCCGCGTGCACATTCATACTTTGGGAAAGGACAGTATGTTGTTATAGCTCCCATCGTTCAAACCTCTCCTTCGCAATAGCCCCGGTACCCATTTTAATAGAGACCATTACGGCATAAACGAGAGGAAAGGACCACTGAACTACGTGGCAAGTTGCCAGGCTGTGCTGCAGCCTCCAGCGGTTATGCTCAAAGAGATTTAAAGTCCAGCATAACCTTGATTTTTAATAGAGTCACATTTAATGAGCTTTAACATCCACAGTAATAATTTCCTTATTACCTATCCAGGAGTCGGAACCGGGATCAGAAAAAACGTGCTGCACTCCAGACCAATGAGCGAATTTAATAACGGCCAATACATTATCATCAAAACCATCAACATCATTGTCCTTAATGCCTTTTTTTTGGTTGGTATAATTATAATTCTTTGAACCTTAAGCATAATTGTTGCAGATCACATAAGCTTGCTGAACACAGCGAAGGTGACTGGCTAAGGGCCACCCAAATCCCTCACCTCTGTCAATAAGCCATTGGGGGTATATGGCAAAACGGGACGATAAAATCTCACATTTACCTCTATCTGTCAGAAGGCAAAAAGCCAACTTACACACGACCTTTGTGTTCTCCCCAGCTTTTACCCACACTTCTCCTGCTCTGCCCTCGGTCTCCCTTCATCCCGTTCAACTCTGACACGAGGGACCTCCCACCTCGAAGGCGCAGCGAGCTGAACGCTCTGGCATGTGTCACGAGAGGGAGATGGATAAACAGACATATGGGTATCGCAGCTGGCAGGAAGGGGTGCAGGGAAAATTCTCATTCTTGGTATTTTTGCACAGAAACAGCACCACAAACCTCACTGAAACCCGCTCCCTGATGATGCACAATAAACCTCCCTCCGAAGGCAGCGAATGGCACAGTGGCAAACAGAGCAGAGGGAGTTTCTGCCACCGCTCCCCCATTTCGCACCTTGAAAATACACTGAAGTGGAAGGCATATGGCAGCTGCTCCTGTGGGCAGAGCTGTCGAGATCCTAAGAAAACAGCGAAAGCTCGATCTTCCATTTCTTATCTGGAGAGAGAGACGGTGTAAGTTTTCTGGCCACACGGATCTGTGTTGTTAAACCACGCCGGGAACAGCCGTTGCATCCGCCCTTCGGACTCGATACCAAAATGGAAGCAGCTTGCACAGCACGCTCGATGAGCTGTCCCCGAACCCGCCGGGAGCTCTGCCTGGCCCCAGCAAAAAGGCCAAACCTGGCATTCATCTGGCTAATTTAAAGCCAGCTCAGACACGCCGGCTAACCTCGCCGTCGGTGCCACAACACCCGCAGCATCTCCCGCACGCCCCGACGTACGCAGGCTTCAACATCAGACCACATCGCTGAACGCTCCCGCAGCAGAAAGGAGGGGTTAGGACTATTTCTGGCAACATTCCTCGTGCACAACAGTGATGCACACAACTACATAAAATACAAGAATAAACCCAAGATCTTTCCATACAACTTGGCTTACTATACCCGTGCCCTGGCCTCAAAGACAGTCATCCGCAGGGCTCCTCCACCCTTCACTTACAGCTCCTTTTCCCATTTTGTTTACTTGAACCACTTCCATATGCACTCACAGGCACTCTGAGAATGCAAAGGGTCCCCCTGTGACTGTGATAAATGGCACTGAAGTATTTCCCACCCTGCTAGGCTCTGCAACTGATGCTCTCTCCCATTTGAGTTGGTGACCAGAAGTCAGAATGATGCAGTACGGGACTGGGGCGAAAGGAAAAAAAAAAGCATCGCATATGCGAGAGGCTGGAAACACCCTGAAACCCAGCGAGCGGTTTGTTTTCCTGTCGGAATCAAAGGCAGAAGAGAAAACAGCTTTAAAAATGCATCCCTTATAAGCTAAAGACAAACCTGGTGACATCCCAGCACAGAAGCGCCTCACAAACAGCTAAAAGCAACTGCGTGAAAGGCAGCAGAATAATAATTATGAATAACAAATCACAGGAGGCATACGCGAGAAACACATTCCCCCCAGAAGAAACGGTCTAATTACTGGAGATGATACCCCAGAGGTTCATTCATCAGCGGCAGAGCCACGGAGCTGCCCTCACCTCTGCATCCTCTCTGCCCCCGCGCCGCACTCTCCCCCGGGGCTCCGGGGCCACTGGCAGCCGCACGGGGCGGCAGCGGGAGATGTGCCGGGCGACTCGGGGCTTAACGACAGGCAAGGGCACTGGGCAGCAGCATCTGCTGGAATTTAAAACCCAGAGCATTTCCAATTCAAATTGCAATGCAAGAGCTATCCCCAAGAACCACCGGAGTCTCACCGGGGTCTCAGGCGGGAAGCTCCGAGGGCAAAGAGAGCGTTCCTTAACCGCACAGGAAGCGTTTCACGCTTACACGTTTGTTAGAGCCTCCGCTAACAACAGTGACAAACTGTCACTGTACCTCTGCCACCCAGCCAGCTCTTCACTTTATAAACCGCCCCATCTACACTTCTCACCCTCATATTTTTAAGGCCATAGAGTACCATAATCCGCCATGAGATGCCGGAACAAACACGTTCTCAGCGGTAATAAAATACTATTGTTTGAGCAATGGGAAAACAAGCGAGCTACTTTCAGGGAATTTTGGTGTCATAACAGTGAAAGATATTTTCTTCTGTGTACTTTCTTTAAACCAGGGCTCTTCCATCTGAACCTGAGGAGGGCCTTCTCTGCTGTGAGGGCGGCAGAGCAGTGGCAGAGGCTGCCCAGAGAGGTGGGGGAGTCTCCCCCTCTGGAGCCATCCCAAACCCGCCTGGACGCCGTCCTGTGCCACTGCTGGAGGTGCCCCTGCTCTGGCGGGGGGTGGCACTGGGGGAGCTCCAGAGGGCCCTTCCAGCCCTCACCAGTCTGCGATTCGGTGATTTTGTGGGTCTCAGGTCTCCAGCACACACGGCCTTCGAGGAAAGCTCTGCCCTCTCCGCCTCATCCGAGGGAGGACCCCGACCGCCAGACACTGACCACGTATGCGCTGCTGGAACACAACAGGTTAGGTCCACACGGACCTTCAGCTCTCTTTTATTTTTCTCTTCTCTAACAAAAACGCTGTGAGGGCAAGGCACACGCCAGAGAGTTACAGCAGTAAGAGTTCTCGGGCTCTGCAGCATGACTCGACTCTGCCTGGTCCCCTCGCAGTGCTGCAGGTGATGGGTCACGTTTCATTGATATCCTTACCTTGATTTAGAGAGTCTGAGAGCATGTCTGGAGGTGTTGGCTTTGGGGTTACTGTACTAAAAAGTCTCGTTCGGGTATGTGAAGGGAAGACAGACTGTACTGGGGGAGAGCCACAGATTCTGTGAAATGTATTTAGCTCGGTGAAAGATGTACTCTATTTTCATGGAATATTGAATGTAGCTGTGATTAATGGGGCGCATATACGCTGATAAACAATATTAATTTGTTTTAAGCCAGGTCTGAAAAGATTTCAACCACTTGCTTCCCTGCAGCTACGAAAGTTATTTCCTGCTGTCTGTACCACCTCAAGGGCTAAACCAGCCCTGAAAGGAAGGCAATATTTCCTTTGACTCCATCGGCAGCACCAGCCTATGAAGGCTGTTGTATTGGTATTTCATTTATCATGAGCAAATGATATGGATTATTATTATTTATCCTTACCACCTACCCTCTGAACCGAACTGCCACAGGATTGCCACCACACATTCACTCTCTCCTCCATCAAGCCAGCTTTTTTCATTTGCCTTGTCACCGTTCCATCAAGCACGCTGTCTGCAATGTCTCCATCTGCTTCGGCACTCAGTTCCTCTGGCAGTACGGATGAATAAGTGCATCTTCACGACCAGAAGCCAGCAGCCTACCTGCAATCTCCTGTGACTGAAAACTCCCAACTCCTTCCAGATTCCCAGGGACGGAGCCGCCTCCTTCGAGCACCCTCACCAGCTCCCGCAGCCTTTCGCACTCCTCCTGGAGCTGCTGCTGCTCTTCCTTGCGCTGCTGCTTGGCCAAGCTCACCGGGTTCATGCTGAAATGAAGAACTTTGGTTCTGCTGGGGTCATAGTCACCCTGCGGGGCAGAAACAACAGAAGCAGATTGAGTAACCGATCCAACCTCCGAGTCCACCCAACCTGTACTACTCTTTGCGCAGAGACAAAAAACATTACAGCAGAAAAAGGGACACTTATGCAGTCATAATGTTTTATTCCAGCAGTTGAAGTCAGCCAAACCCAGTACTGCTTCTCCTTCTCTTACTACTCTCTCTTTCAGAGAAAAACCAACAAACCAAATCCAAAACCCCACTCAACAGAGCTCGCTCCCTGGCTGACACCTCCACAGTCAAATTTAACTCCAGAAATGAAGTTTTATAGCCACGTTTTAAATCTCTCGATAGCAGGAGATTATAATGAACACACAGATACACCCTTACACTACAGCAGGACACCCAGTACTAGCCTAATTTATTACTCGCACGAGCCAGCAATGTCCATGTGACTCCAACAGCGGACTCATTAGCAAGTTGTACCAGCTCGTCCCAAGCAAGTGAACAGATATTTCATTTTATACTTTTTTTCTCAGAGGTGAGTTGTATTTATAGCAGTTTAAATAGTCACTCAAGTCCTGAGATAGCAAATTAATATTCTTTCAAAGTGAGAGGAAAACACTGATGTTACATTTGTGATTTCAGAGAGACAATTTTCATATAAACTACAGGAAACCTCACGACCATAAAAGTAGTAAAGCATGTGCTAATGCTGCCTTCCACGGCACTCTGCCCAGCTGAAACCCTATAGCAGCGCCTGCATAAAAAGGCGTTTTATATGGTAATATTTTTCCTTCAATTAAATCTCAGTACCTAAAGTGATTTTGTAAACATTAATTAACCCTCAAGAGCAGCATGAGGTAGGTATTATCCCAATTTTATCATTTCATTTTCATTAAAGACATGCTAGAACTTTATGTGGGGGTTTTTTCATGCAAACCAGAGCAACTTCGTCCTGAATTGCTGGTCATTGCTGGTAAGAGACCCCAGAAGATCCCATTCCCAAACATCTTTTATTGAAAATACTCCATCCACATAAGGTAAAGCACCTCTGCCAAAACTCACCGCTCCAGAGCCCAGCGGAGGCGCAGTGCTGGTTCAAAACTGGGTTTGACAAATTCATGGCCAACAGCTCCGTAACTGGACCCTGGCAGGGGAGGGCACGGCGCGTCCTCCAGCATCTCGGGCTGCTGGGAGAGCGCCGGGGAGCGTGGCCACGTTTGTGGGCTCTCCCAAAAGAGTATTTTCCATCACTGCGGTCGGAGATGCTCTTCTGGGCTGGACAGACCATGGGTAAGGACCAGCTGGGCACTTTATGTTCACGTGCGATGTTTGCTACATCTCACAACTGTTCCAGTGCCCTCCTGCGGGAACCAGACTGCAATTCTTCTTTAAAACCTCACGTTCTAGACGTTACCTGGGCAGAAGGCAGCTGGAAGAGGTGTGCTCACCCGCAGAGACGCAGGTGCCCATGAGCTGTGTTGGGGTCTGGGTGCGGGGAGGCGCGGGGGCTGCGGTCCCCACGGCTGGCTGTCCCTCCGCCAGCTGGCACCAGGGCCATGCCAGGCAGATGGGCCCCACCGCGGAGGAGAAGCAGCCAACGCTGAGGTTGGCAGGACGCCGGCAGTTACGCAGGCAAAGGGGAAGCGCAATTTAGAGCTGGGAGAAGATGTAGAGCAAAGTCCAGAAGCGCTTTCGGTCAAGAATATGAAGTTAATGCCTTCTTGCATCTACCACCAAAAATATATTTAAAACTGCACAGCTGGAAACATCGAATTCCAGTGCGACTGCCATGGAAAGCATCAGAGTACCTGGAAACCAGCAGATGCTCTCACTGCTGGGTTTCCCAGAGGGGAAAAAAAAAAAAAGGGGGGGTATGGGTGTTCCTTGTAACTACTCTGAGAAACCAATGAAGTGCTCCTCATGAGAAACCAGTTTAACCACATCTGCCCGTCTGGGTAGAAGAGACAGTCACTATTTCACAGTGTAAGTACAAGTTAAAAACAAAGGGAGATCATATCTGCACTCGTACGTCCCAGGCAAAGAGGGGGTGGGAGGAACCCCCTAACACAGGAGAGACGGGAACCCCAAAGGGCTGCCTTGGTCCCAGGAGCTCACTGCAGAGAACTGGGGTAACTCAGGCATGGAAACCTTGGGTACGTTTCCCAGCTGTCTGCATTCCCCACAGTCAGAGTAAACGGTCTTCCAGCCCTCAGCCACGTAGCGGACAGGTGACACATGTTCTCATGCTGCCCAAGCCTCGTGGTGCTCAGACCAACAGGAACGTCTGGGCGGGCAGCACTGTCCTGCAGCCCCACAGCAATGGGGCTTCGTGACCCCATTTCCACCGGCGTGAACGGGACAAACAGCCTGGGCCTGCCAGACAGGCCAGCAGGACCAAGAGAAGAAATAAACCCACTAACAGCCTCGGCCAAGAGAAATTTAGGGGAGAACTGAAGGACTGGGACCCCATGCAGCAGCTTGGAGATGTTGGGGGGGGCTCAGCCTGGAGAAGAGAAGGCTCCAGGGAGACCTCAGAGCCCCTTCCAGTGCCTAAAGGGGCTCCAGGAGAGCTGGGGAGGGACTTTTGACAAGGGCATGGGGTGATAGGATGAAGGGGAATGGCTTCAAACTGGAAGAGGGGAGATGTAGATGAGATATTAGGAAGAAATTCTCCCCTGTGCGGGTGGTGAGCCCCTGGGGCAGGTTGCCCGGAGAAGCTGTGGCTGCCCCATCCCTGGAGGTGTTCAAGGCCAGGTTGGACGGGGCTTGGAGCAACCTGGTCTAGAGAAAGATGTGCCTGCCCGTGGCAGAGGGGTTGGAACTAGGTGATCTTTAAGGGCCTCTCCAACCCAAACCATTCCATGGTTCCATGTTGAGCAGAGGGAGCATGAAGACAGCTGTAACACCGGCTTATCAGATCTATTCTCCCCAGCAACACACGAGCACCTACAAACCTGTTTCCGCAGGCAGCTATCTAAATTCTCATGCTATCTGCATTTCAGGACTCTTCCAGACAGGTCAGGGCACTCCTCCCTCTCGTGTTCACCTTTCAAGGGAAGAGACTCAACCCCAAAGTTTGCAATGGGGTTTACGCTGGCTGGCAAAAGGATGCTCTTAAGATCAGAGCTGCGGAACCAGCTTCTCCCTGCGCAGCCCAGTACCACGGTACTTCTGACAAACCGTGAAGGGCGACTCCGGCCCCGGCACCGGCTGCAGCACCAAGGTCAGGCAGACATCACGCCGCCTCACCCCGGCTGCCGCCACCGTGCTGGCTCCAGCGCTGAGATCGCCTGCGCCTTCGTCCTGCGCCATCGCTGCCAAAGGCAGGAGACGGCAGGAGGATCCCGGTGCGGCAGGAGGATCTCGGTGCGGCAGGAAAGCCACGCAAAGCTGGAGACTGCTGCTGCCTTCCTGCCGGACCGCTTTAACCCACGCTGCGCCGGTCTGTTTATTTTGCAGGTTATTTACTCTTTTAAAACATCTCTCTGGCCTTTCCATAAAGCCCTGCCATGAAGCTGCAACGCTTTGGCTCTTATAGCTCTTTCAGCCCATATATCCTCTCCTTTTAGAACATACCCCCTTGAAAAACCATGCTCTAAAGCTCAGCACTCACACCCAGCCTTATTTTTGGGGCTCGCCAGCGCTCCTGAGCACATCAGTCTGAAGCCACGCTGAGACAGGCGAAGCTCTCAAAAAGCCACTGTGATGCAAAGGCTGTGGCAGAATCCATCTTGTTTAACATTTCTGGGAGATCACCAACTTATTTGCTGTGCTTCTCATTTTTGGGTTAGGGGCAGTAGCTTTCTCTTTATTCTACGCAGCGCACATCAAATCAGCATGTTTCTCCCTACAGCAAAAATATTAGCGCTGCTGGTTTATATTATAGCAATACCTAAAGAAGCCAAGCGAGACAGGGATCGGTGCGCTAGGTCCTGTACAAACCCTGCAAGAAAGTACCACCTAAAGCCCCAAAATCAGACAACAAAGCCTGAAGACGCGGTCAGCAAGGGGAGCAGAGGTACGGAAAGACGCAGGCTCCAGTTCGCAGCCCCTCGAGCAGCACCGTGGCAGAAAGGGAAAGAAAGCACGTCTTCAGAGGTGACCCTCCTCCCCGCCACACCGTCCTGCCGCCTTACGCAGTCGCACCAAGCTGAGTGTTACTGAAGTCTCCGGGAAATTTACTGACATCCGATGGATTTTCAAATAAACGCAGGAAGCTTTCCATGGAAACGGTGCAGACCAGAGCCAGCTCCCGAGGAAAGGGATCAGACACACGTGGATGTCATACCAGACAGCCAAAACGGAATCGCAACTTCAATCATTTGGAGCGGTTTTTTTCACATTTCTGAAGGTTGGGAGTGACTTTGCTTGGCTCCAGGAAGAGTCATGGCTGGAAACGGCTAAACATAACAGACAGCAAAACAGCATTAAAATCTCACTAGCATTTGAAGGAGATTAAACCCTAATGCTGGTAAGAAACCAGGGAGTGAAGAAAGCAAACAACCTCCTCCAGGAATCCCTTTAGCTCTGGAAATTGTAAATTGCTCTTTTTCCTCCATCAACTGCTCTTCCCCTCACAATAAATCAGTCTCACTGACCAGAACTTTGTCCTTCCAGCTCTGCAACAGAAACCTGGAAAATTGCGGGAGAGAAAACCTAAACCAGATTTGTCCATTTAGAAAATTGTTTCTAATCCAGGGGCACTGATGGGGAAGCCCGAACAGTGGCATTTGAAAGGTGTGGTACAGAAGAGACGGCCACGCTCTTTGAACAGGAGTTGGGTGTCCCAGAACAACTGCCCAAGAGCTGCTCCAGATGCTGCTCCTGGGCTGAACCAACACAGGCAAGGAGGTATCGCTTAACCGAGTTAAAAAGCACCTTGCAACGAACGGTAACGTATCCCTGGTTTCTCCAAGAAGCATGAGGAGTGTGCTTCAGGTTTGGAAACTTGGCCTGAATGTGAGAATTGACCAAATCTACTTAAGCTCCTGGTGCCTTTATATAGAAATATGAGACGTTTGAG